TTTGGTAAGGGGACCACATCGGCCAGCTTCCAAATTTGAGGGACTTTACAGCTTTGAAAGGAAGAATTGATTATATTTGCAACTGGTGAGGCGAGAATATCCGAATAGGTTTTTAAAACCCAATTGGAAATACCGTCAGGGCCACTGGAACGCGATGTATTAATTTCTTGCAATTTTCTAGCTATAGTTAACTCGGTCACAATAATAGGCGTTTCATCGTTGTGTACAATTACAGCCGTATCTTCAGATAATGGAACATAGTTCTGTATCACATTTATAAAAACATTGTTAATTTTATTACTGAGGTTTATGTCTGTCTCCTGCCATAAATCTTGATGGAGGCGGTCTTTTACACGTTTGTTGTTTAGTTTAGATGTGCCACACAACTGCTTCACTTCCCGCCACCAATCTCGGGGGTTAGTGTTACGTAAATTATGAACTTTAGATTGATAATAGCTCTTACGACAACGTTTTCGTTCACGATTAACTTTATTACGTAACATTTTAAAACGAGTGACATTACCAGATGCAAAGGCTTTTTGTCGACGATTTATCAGTGATTTCAGATTGCTATTAACCCATGGTCGATCATTAGGGTGGACTTTTATTGAACGTTCAGGCATAATTAAGTTCAAACCATAGTTTATAATGCTAGTTAAAAAGTATAGTTTTTGATCATTTGAGGGTATGGACGATAAAATGTCCCATGGAATTTCCTGGAGAAATCGACCAAGACTTCTAATATTACTGGGTCTCTTGTTTTAACAATACGCGATTGTGGTTCGTGCGATCTTTTCCTCGTTCCAGGACACATGGCAATTGTTAGATGGTCTGATAAGCCAAATGGAGGAGCACTAGTAGGAGGTGAATAGTATTCAAATAGATTGGTATAAATTTGATCAAGAATATTGGCACCTCTGGTGGGAAAATCAATTACTGGTTTTAGTTGAAAAGGTCTAACAGTAGCCTGTAAGTCCAATTTGTTGAAATCACCGGCAATAATGATTGCAGGGTTAGGAATTGAAGATTCAATATATTCTAATGAAGATTGGACATAGTCACGCATACTTGTACAATCGGCATCTGGAGGGTGGTACACAACAGCTATTATCATATTTGAGTAATTTCGTGGGAGTCGTTTTGGTTGTAAAGCTAGCCACAATACTTCGTGATTATCACTATCTAACCCCGTTAGGCGGTTGCAAGAAATGGTATTGTTAATATAAAAACAAACCCCACCATGGGATTTGTGTTGACGATCACGCCTGAATAATTGGTAATTTGTAATATTAATAGCTTCATCTGGAACAGATTCTTTTAACCATGTTTCGCTGAAAAAGGCAATATCTATATAATTCGAAGTAAGAAATACAGCAATTTCATCGATTTTCGGGGCTAGCGACATAGTGTTTGACAATAATATAGCAGGTACAAAATGCGACGAACAAGACACGGTTTTACTATTAACTTCGGGGTTCACAGATACATGAATTAAATTGCTTGACTTGATTCTCTTACGACAGATGAGGTTTGGGTTGACATTTTCCTGGTTATTATTATATAAACAATGTTCAAGTAAGCTTTCCAATTCACTTTCCATCCCGGAAGACGATTTACCCCCGGCCTCGTCTAATAATAATATTTGTAAAAGTTCATTTTGTCTCTCAACATTGTACGTGCACGAAAATCCTTTCCCGAATTTTTGTTACGTTTATTATGTTTCCTAGATGGTTTTCGCTGGGTGATGCGGGTTGGAATAGATTGATAATTATTCATGGGAGTTGTATCATCTGTAATAATTCCACTATTACTGGGATTAATTACTGTGAGATCTAGACAATGGGGACTACATTCATTATGTTGGCCATGGTAGTGGAAGTATCTTTTGTTAGTATTAGATTGACAAATCTCCACACATTCCTTCTCAATTCTTTGGCTAGTATTTAATTGATCCTGAATGCCTTGTGGATTGTGGTGCAGATCATGACATGGGTTCTTTAAAATTGGTGTATTATATGAACAATTCTTAACATTTGACTTGGAATGACTAGGCAAATACTTTCCTACTAAGGTTTCGACTATACTGTCCGTATTATTCTGCTTTTCGATTATATTGTCCGTATTATTCTGCTCAGGTTCGTCCGAGAAATACAAGCAAGTAGGTGTAATCACATCCTGCAAACTAACAAGCGTATTTGCCTGTTGTTTCACTGTTGATTCCAAGATAATGACATCCAATTTAACGCCTTCGATATCAGAACTGACTTCAGGGCATTTACACATGTTATGAGACGAGCGAATATTATGGTCGTCAGAACCAATGTCATGCAAAATCAACATCAGAATTGAACGTTTAACTTCACTTGCCTGTTTTCCCTCTATCCTAAGAAACTTCTTTTTAGCCCACCAATGGATATCAACGTTTTTGCTTTTAAACAACTTTTTCTCCCCACCGATCGATGACCAAGTTCCTTCGAAATTTAGTTCGCTATCAACAAACAATTTCAGCGATTCATAATCACCAGACCACGATAGTTTTAGTTCAGGATATCGATTTATATTTGATGATTGAGTTTGATGTGTAGCTGTTGACATCGTATAGAACTAAATTGCACAGTTTATGATGTTCTCAACACAATAAGTACTTCTTGGTACGCTTTGTGGATTGTGAGAGATAGATCTAGATGTCGTAGTATCGTCGCAATATCACTGTACATACAATGCGATATTTCGGAATATTTGTCCATGAGTAACTTCAGGTCAATTTAGAAGTGACTTGAGCTGATTTTCAAGCAAGTAAATTATAAGAGCAATGACGGGCAAACGTGGAAGTTAAAAGTGAACGCAAACTGGAAATGCCGCAAAACTAAGAGTCGGGCAGATTGTAATTACAACAATGTGCAAATTTACTTTAAAATTAGTGGGAAAATTTAGTGGGAAAATGAGGAAAGAATTAAAGAGAAGCGGTAGGTGCATTAAAAACATCAAGAAAATTTTTTTACCGCCCCTTCCAGGTAACGTAAAACGTAATTTTAAAAATCAGTGAGAAGGTCTTCGCTACGTCCCTGGCCTTTGTATATTCTCTCGAGGTATTTCAGTTTTCTGAACAAGTCTCAAGTGGATCTCTAGAAAGGTGAAAGGGTCATGCATCCAGTATAGAGAAAGTTACTTTTAATTTAATTTAATGGGTTAATCGATTTAGTAACGAAAGTCGTTTTGTCCAAACGTGATTTCCGGCTATATTGGATGAAAATGGTATTCAATTTTAGGTAATCCTTTGTCGAATTCATCCAAAATGGAAGCGATGTGAACTTTGCAAATATTTAATAATTATTGGATGAGGTTGAGCGTTATATCGAGAATTATCAAGGCCGAGGTTGATCATTCTCGATATCACGCTCAACCTAACCCAATAATAATTAATTATTGTGCTCATCATTGTCAGACCTTTAAATTGAACGCTTACGAACCTCCTATCGAGATCACCAAATATCAGACTATCACTGGAATTTTCCCATAGCAGTTCTCTTTGACTTGAATGAATTTTTATAGCTACCGTTTCGCTGTTTCTAAACTCCAGGTTTTATTCTTGTAGCTAAACCTGCACTTCAGGCTGATGAACCAATGACAGACGGCGATGTAGAACGAACAATGTCAATGGCATCTACTGTTATTACTCCTCGTTCTGGAGCTAGTACTTCGTATTATTCACAAACACTCGTAATGGGACTATTACTGTTGTATATTATTGTCTCGAGGTAAATATTCACATTAACGACATCCAGAGCTGAGGAGAGCTGACCACGCAGCAGCTGTTGAATAGAGATCCGCGCGAGGTTAAACAATTCCTGAAGATGAACATGTTTATAAATATTGTTGTCAAACGTCGATAGCTGTAAGCTCATCCAAATATTATTTTTATATCACCTGTAAATAAATAGATAATAAATCCGATGACATATAAATCAGCACTCAGCCTACTCTCGTGCAAACTTTGCTAAAACTGTATTCGCTAAATTTCAACCATTCTTTTTGCCTTGAACTGATTCCCTGATGGTATGGACAAAATGCAGAACAATGGAAGCAACGGAATAACGTAATTTTTAAATTTTGACTTTTCCAAATAGTCTTTGAAGGCCATTTTCCACTAGCCAGGTGGAATTTTCCGCGCGGAGCAGAATTTTTCTTTGTCTTTTCTAATTAGTTCCACCCGAGATATCACAAAACAAAGAAAAATTCCGCCTAGTAGAAAACGTCCTTAAGCCGGTTTTCCACTTGCGAATTTTTTTGCGCAAAGCGAATTTTTCTTTTGTCTTTATCTAATTAGTTCCAGATGGTTCTAGTTGAGAGACCAAAGACAAGTGGAAAACCGGCATTATTCACATTGAAACATTAAATAAAATTTTCATTAAATACTGTACTCAACACTGAATATACAATACAAACTTAGGGCCTGTTCATATGGGCAAAAGTTATCCCGGTTAGCGAGAAAACTTTCACGACAAGTTTACAAGCGAGATCTCGCCTTGGTACGAAAATAATATGAAAAGTTACACTGCGTTCATATCAGACAAAAAGTTTTCCCGTGTACCGAGATCTCGCTTGTTGACAGGCGAGATCTTGGTGACCGGGATAATGTTTTTCCCATATGAACACAACTTTCCCGCTTAGCGGGATAACTTTCTGTCGTGTCAGCAACTTTTCAATTCAATTGATGTTCAGTGCCACGACACAGCCGAAAACTTTACCTGGTAAGCGGGATAAAGTTTCTCCATATGAACAGAACAAAAGTATTTGGCTATAGTCGAAAAGTTTTCTCGTTAACCGGGATAAATTTTGCCCATATGAACAGGCCCTTAATTGGCTACTCGCCGTTGCAAATATTTCAATACACCTGCAGGTAGATCGACCTGCGGAAAGTCGAACCCAGTATGAGTACAGGTAGTTGATGTAAAAATTTTGAAAGAAAATTTCAAACCTGCATGGCGAGTGTCTTGTTGGAATCCCTATTATCTGGAAGAGAACTGCTTCCTATACTCCTATTCGGCTTACACTTTTCTTCAATGCAGCGTTTAAGTAACGGTCGTATGATAGTATCGTCCACCTTCAATTCAGCCGAACGTAGTGTTACAGCTATAGTATAGGATTTGAATTGATTATATGTTAATTAATAAAGGTTTGCCGGAGTCGCATCACTAGGCTTCGTTTAAAGCTAGTTTGCCACTTCAACCGTATCGTGCCATAGCGTAGTGTATTTCTTTGTTTCCTGAGCGGTAGTGTGTAACTAATGACTTCGACACGAAAGAAAATGCTACGGTACGTTACGTTACGTTACGTTACGTTACGATATGGTTGAAGTGGAAAACAGGCTTAACACTGTACCGGATAGTTTTCCGTAGCGACGTGAAAAAACACCTATATCCATACCTTGTAGGAACGCTATTTTCAGAGGCATTAGAGAGGTTAAGATACCCCGGCGTGAGTAAACCTACCAGAGAATGGCAACTTTCGCTATTAGGGAGTTTACGATCTACGACGCGGCCGGCTCGACGACGCGCTTTCAAAACAAAGAAATTTGGTGTTTCCACAAACAATAGTACTATGTGTTTTATCGCCCTACAAAGAACTTACAAAGAAATTTGTCATGCAAGACAAAAACTGTCAATAATTTGTGGTCCCATGAGTATTGTCAACTGCGTTGTCATTCTCAACACAACGTTAAAAAAGCATTATTACGTCTTTCAGGCAACGCGAAAGCCTAATGCGACACAACAGGTGTTACTAAAAGTTGAAATTACAGCAAACATTGCATCGCATTAGCCGAACGTAGCATTTTGTAAGGTTATTTGAAAGAGTCAAATATTTATTACAGTAATCAAATTGCTTAGCGCTCATTCTTGAGCTAAAATTTAGACTGCGTCGTTGAGCCGGCCGCGTCGTAGATCGTAAACTCCCTGATAACTTATAGAGAACCTACGAATCGATCAGTTCAAGCTTCAAACCTTCGTAATTCAGCTTGGCTCTCAGCTGCAAATAAGGACAACCACACTTACTTAAGGGAAATGTATAGTATTTTATATGTAAAAAAATTTAGATAAAGAATTGCTATGGCTTTTGTACTCGAGCAAAGCAGTTAGTTTAGACCTGATAAAAATATTCACTACGCGGTACTGGATAAAGTCAGTCCATATAGAGTCAGTCAAGTTACAGACTAGCTTTTTCCTGTTTTAAATTAACTGAATTAGCTCAGAGATGTTCCTTGAAGCTGTTTTTACTGCGCCTTTAGAAAGCACTTATCTATGACTGAATTTGGACTTCCCCATAGGGCGTTCTGTGGTTTTTGGCAAATGCAACGATTCCGGCCATTTGATTAGGCCGTCTGTAGTTTTGTTGGTAGAACAGTAGGATAATAACCAATATTCTGGCGGGAACAAGCTGAGCCTCATTGCCCGCAATCGAAAACTCTCCTGCCCACCCGCACGAAGCGGAAGGAAATGACGTTGGGTGTGACACGTTCTGTACTTCAGTAAATATTGAGTCTGGTTTCAAACCTGTCAAACTGGTTCTAGGACTTGTTTCAGTCATATATTGATCTCTGGATCACAAGCAAGCACTTTCAACTGTGTTTAGACTGAATAACGCCATCAGCCCTAAACTGCTCTCCCTGGAGATCCAGTAACGGCTAACCCAGTGTTACTACAGGAGGAAACCTAAACTAAACTAACTTTATTTATACTGGATAGTTCTATCAGTTCTAAACTGTTCTTCCTAGAGGTCCAGTAAAGATCATCTCTTATTGACCCAGTGTTACTACAGGAGGAAACTTAAACTAAACTAACTTTATTTATACTGGATAGTTCTATCAGTTCTAAACTGTTCTTCCTAGATGTCCAGTAAGGGTCTTCTCTTATTGATCCAGTGTTACTACAGGGGGAAACCTAAACTAAACAAACTTTATTTATACTTGATAGCTCTATCAGTTCTAAACTGCTCTTCCTAGAGGTCCAGTAAGAGTCATCTCTTATTGATCCAGTGTTACTACAGGAGGAAACCTTGAATCAAACCTCGAATCAAACTATATCGAGGCACTCAACTCCCACGCATGCAGCCACAGAGATTAAGAAATAATTAGAAGGCAACTACATCTGGAATTAAGAGATGCTCGTACAGGCACACACACACTTTGGTAAATAAGTATACTATACTAAACAACCTACATTAAGTGAACTACCCACGCATGGACTAACGAACTTAAGCACAGCGACACAAAGAAAGCACGTTTATTGCACGTGCGATTTCCCTTTTGCCGTTAAGAGGAATATAGAAATGACGACGAAGAGGACATCCCACAGTCTACAATGGGGAAGTACATTTCCGTTTGGTCTTGAACACATCGGGTAACGCCTTTCTCAAAGAGGGCGACATTTAGATTTTCATATATTCTTTTTCAAACCTCGAATCATGTCTACCTGTCGAGCGCGGTCCCGTTTGCCGCGGGTATATCAAAGAAGTTAAGATTAACGTTTACGTCAGCCTGCAAGCTAAATTCTACAAGTTTCGAAAGTTCGAGTAGTTTTTAGCTAACTCACGCTTGAGTTGACCTCGAAATATAACTTGAAGTTTGCCGGTCACTTAACCTCTCTAATCTCCATATATTTTACACGTTTTCGACGGTTCGAGCAATTTTTTCGCCTTTTGATGTCATTTCCCTTGAGCTTTTATGCCATTTACAGCGAATCATCTCATATTTTTATAGCGCATTTTATTTGCTATACCTTTTATCTTTAAATCGAAATTATTTTGCAGATCAGTGAATGTTAATCCATACGGCTTTTATACGCCGAAATTCAAATGCTTCTATATATACCAGCACGGTTAAAGACTATAGACGGGGCGAACAGCGGGCCATACCCGCAGCATGTCGGTTGTGGTTGCCGACATCATGTATGCTTAACCGCAAAATGAAGTTCTATATTAACTCATGCATTTCTACTAGCGTTTGAGCCGGAAGGCTAGCACAAATTCAAATCAATAATTCATCCATATACCTGCATGAACACTTGTCTCCAAAGAGGTTTGCATGGCAACGCCTATCATATATAACTGCATTTCTTATAGTTTCTTGTAAGAACTGGCCCGCTTCCTATCATAGGGCCAATACTCTAATACAGTTGTATTTTTCGTATCAATTTTACCGCAGAGCGTTTTATTTCAACTCACACAGCGTATACTAAAAATGTTCCCTATATAATATAATGTCCCGCAGTCACAAAAACAGCAACACGAATAGCAATAGAAAAACGAGCAACAACTGTAATAGAAAAACTACGGAAACGAACAACAAATGCAATGTATAAATTTGAGGAAACAATTTAAACAATTGTAATTTGAATATTCACCGCAGTTTCCTTTTTTCTACGCAAAATATAATACTACCAAACACAACTATCCATATATAGCGAATAATATCGTTTTGTAAAACTTAAAATTCGAGTCAAAACAAGGGATCAATGTTACCATCAAACCGTTAAGCATTTCAGTTATATTGCGGAATCTTTTAAGAAACGCCATTATGATATTATGAGATCTGCCAAGCCGGACAAAACTGTTTGCGGAATCGGTAAAAACCGAGTGTAATTAACGAAACTGAGTAACTTAAAGTTTCTGAAACGTTCTCTGATCGTAATTTTTTATTTAAAACACGAGCTTTCGACTGCCAGCGCATCTAGCATTTTTAAGAAAAGCAACTTGATATGTATTTTATGCTAGAAGATATTTCTCACAAAAGGGTAGTCATTGGTTCAACAAAATAATAAACTCTGCCATTCAAAAAACTTCCTATATGCATGCTGGTAGCTAGCAACTGAATATTTTTCTCATTCGAGAAGCTTTTAAAAAATTAAGTACTCGGAAAAAGGGTCTGCTAACTAAAACATGCATGGGCAAGCTGTTTGTCTGGCGCGGACTTCACAAATTTTGACACTTTTTTATTATTAATTTTACAATTATAACAATTGAAGGCTGAGACAACAGGGTAAATAAAGTCTTAAATTAAGTCCAACTCGGATGGAATGAGGTGAGAACTGCGAAGAGTTGGCAGTCAATGTGACCTTCGTTAGCTGTTCTTCATAATGCTTTCCCAAACACTATCATGCATTCTATTGAAGTTGAAACATAGTTGGAACACTCACAAGCCTTTATTTTGTTAATCTAGAGCTTGAAATGCCCCTTGGAACAACGCGCGACTGTCACTCAAATTAAACTTCAACCCCTGATTCTATTTGTTTATTTCTTACTCAGCCGATAACTCAGTAGCTTGACCAGCATCTGTTACTTCGTATAGCGTGTTAATAAAATAGTAAAATCTGCCCAGGAAATAAATGCGTCATGAAACTGTTTTAAAAGCGCTATAGCATCGGATGGGTGTCAACAATTGCAACAGCATTGGGACTAATGGGGTGAGAAAATAACGTATCAATGCTTTCCATATTAATTAAGTAGTAAAGTATTTGAGGCCATATAAATGGTTTGAGTTTAGTTAAAATTTTCTTGCCCACATATAAGTGTCAACACGTTCTATAATCGACCATCTGCCACACGAAAGTGCTTATAGAGAAACCTAGCAATACCAGGAGCATTTCGCGAAACCACTTTGGAACATCAACTGCGCAAAATATATACGCAATAAGTTTGGAGGTGATGAATATATAAAATTGAAACGTTTTGTTTTTGGGTCAATATGTCCGAAGTAGAATATCGTCTGTTGAGCAATATATACTGTTTACAGAAACCCCACCTTTGGTACCTGCTAGCTAGCATTGCGTAAAGCCACTCAGCAAAAATATACGGAAACAGATGGGTAGAGCTATGACGTCATGAGCTCGTTAATTATTTATGATATATCGTTGAGAGGTCGAGAGAGCTTACAAGCAAATTTATATACAGCAATGGCCAAGTCGGTCGCTTGCTGGCGAACTTTAAAGCAAACAACGGTCATTTTATAACTATACTTTTCTCCCCTCTTTCCAAGTTAGATGTCACCAACGTTTAGTCGTTTTATAATGGGATGTGTTGGTTCAAGACAAGAAGATCGGCCAAAGAAGAAACAACGCGAGGACGTCCGTCGAAATAATAGCGATTCGCAAAAGGGAAACGCGGACGGGAACACTCCCGTGCACCTACAACCGAAAGTGAGTATGATGTCCGATCATACGCTGAAATTACTGCAGGAAATTGGCGAGCTGAAATCGTTCACGGAGATCGACCCGGCCGAAATCAACCTAAATCAATTTTCGGATTTCATAATGGCGTTGGAAAACCCCCAAGCTGCTACCACGAATAATGCGAAGACGCGGAGTACGTGATGATGTACGAACGACGCTACCCGAGTTTGTGGTGCTACCATATTTCTTACATTTGCCATATATGAATTTGCTACATTGCTACGGTGTGAAATTATGCTGGATCATTTTTTATTGTAGACCGATGTCCTAGATCGTCATGTCGCCAAACACGAGTTAAATGGCCTTTTAAGGGATGAATAATGAATAGTAGATGTCTTTAAAGAATTGTATAATAATATTACATAACAGAAACTGACGGAAGGACACGAGAGAATATTGCGACAATTTTAAAACAACCGAATTTTATTCGAAGAGAAGCGATATTGCTCAGTTAACTTCGAATATACACAAAGGCTACGGATTATAAACATCGATTTATCATCAAATATTACACACAAATTCTCGAGTGGGGCTATTTTAGGAAACCTTCGTTCTTCAGTGCAAAAATTGGACAAAAGTGTATCGTATTCTAGCATCGAAGGTCATTGTGCCATGAGCGCATAGACTTGACGCTAAATGTAGGAAGAGGTTGAACTGTTCTGGGAAGAAAATTCAAATTGGACAGATGAATAATTACTTACGAGCCACGAAACAACGGGCAGAAAATCCTTATGAGAAAAATTGAAGAACATACGATGAAGAACTTTACAATGTAGCGAATTTGATAAACTACAGGCCAGAGTGTTTCTGTATTATATGTGTGTTTTTGGCGAAACGCATCGATGACCCACGTTTAGATAATCAACTATAATTTATATACATAATACGCCGGTACGTAAAAGCCTTGCTGGCAAGAGGCACATTACAGAATAGTTCTATTCAATTATATATATTTATATAGAAGCCTTAAAACTTATCGCGCTTTCATGTTTATAAGCGCAGAGTGGACCAAAGGTTTGATTTGAAATTTTGTATATAGGCGTAGAAACTGGATTGATTCCGGTTATAATATCGAATATCACAAGCTAAGAATAGCAGTATTAAAAAGTATTTTCGTTAACAGCGACTATTCCCCGCTAGTCGGAGGGCAATAAATAACTATTACATTATTAGTATTTTTAAAGTTTAAAGCTATTGAATATTCGAATTAAAAGCGAGTCGAAAGAAAAAAAGTGTGTAATATGCATTATCATGTTTGTATGAAAAATTCATTAATATAATAATGCGTGTGTGTTTCGTCTGTAGCTGAAAATGTAATCAATGGGGGAATTCATTTGCAAATTCAATGTCATTCAAATAGCTTAGCGACGACTAAAGTATACTGTAATATTTGTTTAAGCGCTTAAAATGTCGTCAACACATTTTAAGCTCACTTTCAAGCAAACAAAACGCCTCGTCGTGCAAGATTTGTTCAATGTTTAAACAACTAAAACAAGTACCGTGAATTTGCGAGGAGAAACGCGTCGTTCTGTAAATATGCAAATGGAGGCAAGTCGACATAACAGTATTTGTCAAAAAGCGCTGTGAAAAGCCGTTTGGATTTTTTAACCGTAGCGAAATATTCTCATGAGATATAGCGTGCTACCTTGTTTAAAAGCCCAAAATGTATTCATAAACCGAAACACAAAAAGCTGTTTCATATAATTTGTATATTCATCGACAAAAAAAAATCGCCTTATCACATAAAGGCACAAGAAAAAAATTCACTATCAATGCTGAAAAAGCTTTATCTGTGAAAATTGAAAAGCATAAAAAATGTAATTATTGGAGAATTTAAAAAAAGGATTTGAAACCAATGGGAATGAAAAGCGAAAAACGTTATCAGCGAATTTAATTAGCAATGCACATGGCGTCGTGTCCAAAATTTGCATGCTAATCACAAAAAAATATACAAAGCATATCTATCTTTTAATAGAAAATCACCAAAAATGTAAGAAAAAAATGGAGCTCAAATATAGTGCTCGAAATTTGCATAAATGTATACCAAAGATACAAACTAAAGGTAAAATATTTTTCATCACAAATTTTTCGCACCGAACAGATGGTCAAATAATATTCACAATACTTTCAGCAACGTCTTGGGTGGGGGGAGGGGTTCTGGACCAATTTTGTAATTCTTTAAAACATGAGGAAAAACTGGGTGGGGGCATAACCTCTTAATGTTTTTATCTATGACATAAAATATACCAAATGTGTGGCTTTCAGATTATCATAAAACGTGTCTAAAATACATGTAATCATGTTTTGCACACCCTAAATATAGAAAACTTTTCCAGGGTGCTATGCCCTCGGATATTTACCCCCCCCCCCCCACTTGTTTGCAGTTGGTCATGCCGCTGATCTGTTTCATGTAATTCAGCCCCAAACAATGGCATTTTTATTAAAAATCAACAATACCAAACCCAACAGTTTTCATAAATTACAAGTAAAAATGTTTGTCATGAAAAGATACCAAATTATTCATGAAGGTTCATGCCATTGACCACTTTACTGTCCATGCTCCATTGTATAATCACAATTGTTTTGCCGTCTCTTGCAAAATATATCGGTCCACTTTCAAGCTCCTTCGAGCAATCGTTTAGCCAGGCCGTCTCGCCACCACAATCAATAAAGCGATATCCAACTTTTGGTTTTGACCAGTGAGCCGGCATTTCGCTTAGGCAGTCTTCTGTTTTATTGTTTAGAATATGCAGATTATTGTTTTTCCAACACAGTGAAAATATCTCACCAAATGCGACCAAAATGTGATCATGTTTTTTGAACAACCTTTTAACATAATGGTGTGCAATTAGGTGCGGTATTGTGTCAGGCATGCTGCAGGATGGGATACGGTATGGTATGGCAAGGTAAGGTCTTGTAGTGTGGCGTGGTATGTGATATGGTGTGCAGTGGAAGACACTAGGTGTGTGTGTGGGGGGGAGGGGGGAACTGCCCCCGATTTCTCATTACCTTGTAAGTTGAAATGTTTCCAAATTCCAAATGCAAACACCTTGGTCTGAAGCGCATATTATATCACGACCATTGCACAGCAACTTTGGCAGATACTGAAGCACAGGGCAGTTTTCACTTTGATTTGATATCGTAGCAATACAATCGTACTCCTCAGAGGTTCTTACTGACCACACCTAGCAAAATATGTACGTGTAATGTAAATGTAGGATGAGAATCTGCCTCACAAACCAGCCAAAAGTCACAATGATATTTATTGAACCACCGATACATGCTGATACATCAGGCAATGCGATCGGCTGATAACCTCTCTGCCTGAAAGTTGTTTGATTATCTGCTTCTGCCGATTAATTTCCGATTATTGGCTCATCCCTATTTGAGATATCATTCAAATCAGGGTGCGATAATTCGCGTACTTACGTACCGGAGGTAGCCAATATTACAGTCTGGTACTTCTTTGTTTTCAGTCACGTACCACGTAGGTACGCGGAACTCTTGCTATCTGCGTACTTATTCTTTGCTGGTAGCACATGACCTTTCCAAGTCCAAGGTATTCAATACCGTAATTTAGTTGGTATATCATGTGTCTGAGATGTCTTGGCATGAAACAGGATTGCACTGATGGCAAAAAGAAACGCTGGAGTCGGTTGTTTGAAATAGCAAAACTCCATTTTTAAATAGCAAAACACCCTTTTCAAATGGCAAAACACCCTTTTCAAATAGCAAAACTCCCTTTTCAAATAGCAAAACTCCCTTTTCAAATAGCAAAACTCCCTTTTCAAATAGCAAAACTCCTGTTTCAAATAGCAAAACGCCCTTTTCAAATAGCAAAACACCTTTTTCAAATAGTAAAACACCCTTTTCAAATAGCAAAACACCCTTTTCAAATAGCAAAACACCCTTTTCAAATAACAAAACTCCTTTTCAAATAGCAAAACTCCCTTTTCAAATATAGCAAAACACCCTTTTCAAATAGCAAAGCTCCCATTTCAAATAGCAAAACTCCGTTTGCTATCTCGTAGTCTGAATATACTTTTCAGAAACCTTTACTTTATGAACCTTATTTTCAAAGACTAAGTACACATTGAGTATTGAGTTTGTTCTAGCGCAAGTATGCAGCAACAATCATTGGCGTACCAGTCAGACGACTAGAAATCTTGAATGATCGCACCCTGCAAATACTGTAAAAATGTAAATTTCAGGAATAATTCATATCACCTTGATACATTCTCTGCTCATGCTAATAACAACATACTTTCTTTGTAACTTTGTTTGATACTCTTGAGCAATTTGTGCTACCAAAACCTGAAGACAAACATAGGTATTGTATGCTAAGCAGCAAGCCCTCCCCCCCTAAATAGCGCCTGATACTGACGCAGGCTAAGCATTCACAGGTGTGTGTGTATGGAAAATATGCTATAAATACACAGAGCCACATTACAGGCTTTTTAATAGAGGCCTCCTTTTAACCCATTGAGCGAAAGCACTCTCTTCTTGATGAGTAAAATTGTCTGGCATTAGACAGAGTAAAATGATAAGGTACGTAGGGCGCATTTGGGTGCAATACATCTCAATGGGTTAACTAGGCACATGGGGCGATTGACCAATGGAGCGCCAGCACTCTCCCCTTGATAAGTAAAAACATTTGGCGTTAGACAGAGTAAAATGATGAAGTACCAGTAGTGCATTGGGTGCAATGTGACTTAATGGGTTAAAAGTCTCTGTTCAAACAAAGTGTAAGACTAATAAAAAAGCTTCCCAAGAACTTTGTTAATAAATTAACTTAGGAGCCATTCACAAAGGATGTCCGGCCAAATGATGGATTTTCAGACCCCCATCCCCCCCTTGTCCGAATTAGTGAACCCCCTCCCCCCGACATCCGCCATGCCTCGCAAAAACTCACACAACCTTGTATATGTCAAGAGTAAAAAGTTTATAACTATAAATGTATTGAAGGAAAGAATTAGATAATATTATGAAGTGTTCAAAATGCCAATTTCACAATGGGAAAGAGACTTCAAAATAGAGGAAAAAGAAATTTGTTTTTGAATTTTTTAAAATTTCGGACATCCTGATTGCTAAAAAAACCCCTCCCCCCCACGTCCGAGTTTGTCCTAATTTTCCAAACCCCCCTCCCCCCCTCGGCTCGGACATCCTTTGTGAATGCATGGCCCCTTATCTTTAAGCTACAATGCATCTTGAGCCTAGAGTTATATTAACTTAGTTTGTGTTTCTTCCTGGAGTGATACTGGATCAACCGGACTTACACTAATCAACCAATTTTGATGCCCTAGCTTTGTAGCCAAACACAATCCTGTAGACATCTGCCATAATTTTACGGTACTGTCCGAAGATCCACTCACAACCAAATCCAGTTCCGTGTTATAGTCTACACAAAATACTGAACATAAAATCACAATCATGAGAATAATTGCCCTCAAGAGAAAAGTTACATCATTGACTAGGTACAATGAAATTTTTCGTTCTCGTCATGAATAGAATCACGTTTGACTTCATTCAAAATTTTCGTACAACATCGTCTAACACTCATGATTGGAGCACTTTGAATGAGCCTTACTCAAACAGTAATAATAATCCTAACTCTAATATTAATTCCAGTAAACATCCATATCTCCCTCACAGAGGAAATCAGAAGCAGACCCACCTACTACACTTACAGTACTATTATCAGAAACAAAGCTGGCAGAAATTTCCTCTGTGGGGGGAGTGTGGATCCTTTCTGGAACGACCCATTTTTAACTCCAATCCTAATTCTGACCCAACCCTAATGCTAACACAACCTCAACCCTAAGGACAAAACGTAAAAAAAATACCTGTGGTCCCGGTTCCCGACCGACCCTATTTTTTTCTGCCGACCCTATTATTTTTTCAACGCGATTGACCGTGCGACCCTATTTTCTCTGGGTGGTTGCAGACTGCTGCCAAAATGGCATCTGTTCTCACACTAATTATTGAAAAACCAATGAAAAAAATATTCAAAAAAAAATTATTTCCGACCTACCGACCCTAATTTTTTCGCGATATGAAACCGGAACCACCTGTAGGTGTTTTTTTTAACACCTAACTCAACACACCTGCCCCAACATGACCTTGATATTTCGTCAGGCAATTTCCTGTCGCCCACTCCCACCGAGCAAGCGTGTTATCACACGAGGCCGTCACAACTTGCACTTCGTCGAATTTTAAATCAGAACAGGTATGACATGTTAGCTCGTATTTACATGTGCCGCTTGCAACGTCCCATAGTCGCACAGTTCTATCATCCGATCCTTAAATAATAAACAATTTCGTATCAACAGACAGACTACATAGCATGGCAGTTTTGGACAAGACCTTGGGTGTGCAAGACAACAATTTAGGTGTGCAAGTCATGTCTGAAGTGTACACTGTCTTTAAAAGCCCATTTTCTACCAAGAGAATTTTTTTTGCGCAAACAGTAAAAAAGTAGGAACTGATCCAACTTTTGTGCGGCAAATTTTTTCGCTGACCAATCACAATGCCAAGATTTTTTTCGCTTCGTGCGAACAAATTCGCCTAGTGCAAAATGGGCCTTAAGTTTGCCTGCTACAAGTTATTGAAGTGTGCAAAGTTATTATACAAAACATTCTTGAGCGTACTCTATTTTTGCACCATGTCATCATTATTCTGACCAAGGTTATTGTTATCAGCCGAAACTGATGACATTGATCGACAGGGCCGCCAAGATTTGGGGTGGGACAGGGGCCCCAAAGCAACAAAGGCTCTGAAGGTTGGTGTTAGTGCCAGAAAATATGCAATAAAGTGTAATATCTCCAATAATGACATTCCTGTCATATGATGCATGATTTAGGGTGTATTATCAAGTATATACTCAGGTAACAGTGTTACACTATCTTTATTTAGGGGTAGGGTTAGGGGTAGGGTTAGGGGTAGGGTTAGGGGGGGGGGTTAGTGTGTGTAACATGGTGGGGTTAGTGTTTGTAACACTATGTAACACAGTGGGGTTAGGGTTAGTGTGTGTAACACTATGTAACACGGTGGGGTTAGTGTGTGTAACACTGTCAACACTCTGTAGCACTGTGTAACACTATGTAACACTGTGTAACACTATGTAAGAATGTGTAACATTGTTTAACACTGTGTAACACTTGTAACAGTGTTACAACTGAGTGCCATAATAAAGCCACCCTAAATCGTGCATGGTATATCTCCTGTTTCACAATCATGACATCATAGGGCCCCTGGCGCAAGCGGTGCAACCCCTTGTGCACATTGATCAAGGTCTGAATATACATCTCACCACTTGCCAACAAGCCATCTTTATAATAAAATGCCGTCACCCTCTCGGTGTGCCCATCCAGTTCTCGTTTGGCAAAACCGGCAGTCCTATAACGCCGAAATCGTTTTATTCTGCGAAGACCATTTCGTAGTTCCAATTTCCAATCAACTGTTTTTGTCAATTTCTGATCAACAACACCCAGTCTCTTACAAGTCTCGGTCCATACTTCGGTAAAGTTCGACAAAATCGTATTCCAAGCCTTCGAAACTAAACAACAACGGCTAAAAGTTTTATAGTCCAAAAACTTCACAACATTGAACGCCAGCTCGGTGGGCAAAAATTTGATAAAGTCGCGTTTTACTAAACTGTGCAGTTCCTCCGAAAGAAATCGGAGTTGCTCAGGTCCACATAGCGTCAGGATCGTTTGGATAACAAGGTTTTTTTCGGGATCGGTGTAGGATTTAAAATCTCTCGCAAAATTTTCAAGAGATGCTTCGAATTTCGCCATGATTGTTGTTACACGTGGGGAGACTTTTGTAAAAGAACATCGTTCAAACGGAGATTTGAACTATCGGAAATTGCCGTTATAAAACTGTATTACCTGTAATACTGTATATAAAAATATTAAAAGATTTTTTGTTTATATTTATAATTTATGGTGTTCTATATTATATTTACGTGTGTTTGTGGACATTTATGCCGTGTAAACATTGATTGAGGCATGTTTACAGCCCTAAATAAACTTCTGGATATCGATAATAAAATTTATATACCAAAGGTAAGGCGGTTTATAAGCTAGATCAAGAGATCAGACAATGCCAGGCTGGCTTATTTAGCATAGTATATCACAGAGTAAATACGAAACAGATCCGACTCAGCCGTAACTGCCGCCACGCCATGATTTGCAACGATTCGTCATCAAAATGCACTTGCTGTCTTCCTAGCTAGTGCGCTAGCATGGCATTCACCCCCCTGAATGGCGGCCGTTTTGAATATCCTCAGTAGTCAGGGGGGTGAATGCCTCTTGTAAGCGCATTGGCTAGGGACATAGCAACCCATTAAGTTTCATGACCCTAATGCACGCTACTTGATTATTTTACTCTGTCTTACGCCAGATGATTTTATAACTCATCAAGGGATAAAGCTCTGGCGCCAAATGAGTAGAAACATAATACTGCAACTGACCCTAAGTGTTTACTGACTGAAAATGTTTTTTAGGGAAAATTTTTTCTCATCTCGGAATCAAACAATGACGGCAGTTTTGTTACACATCATTTTCTAAGTTTGTATCTTAAAGGTAATGATGATCGATAACTGATTGTCAGAGGAAATATTATACATAGGAATATATAGGCCCTTTGGGTTAAGTTTAGTGTACTATTACAAAATTTCATATATATTAATAATTATATTCATTGGTTTAGGAGGACACAATGTCTGTTTTATTGCACTGGTGCAGTCATTCACACATTACAGCAGTGTCGCTCAAAAACTAGTAAGCATCTTTGACTAGCATTTGACTAGCTGCCATGTTCCTAGCCAATATGCTATAAGGCTATCACCCCCTGAGAACATTTATAATATTTTAGACTTTGGGGGTGATTTCCTCTCGTTTGCGCACTGGCTAGGAACACAGTGACTGCATATAACCACTACATGAATGGCCGGGAGTCTCTGGGCCTGACGATGACCTGTCACAAAAGCCTGTTCATTTCATATTGCTAGGGCGTTAACCTCACTGCCTCGACACAAAATGGCAAGTTAATCTTTGTAGAAGGGCTAAAATATGCTGTTCAGAATATGGAAATCGAATCATCAAATGAAATGCCACCTGGCATGCAAAATAATCCATATAGAGGCTTGACAAGCCGGTGAGTACAGTTAAATGCAGTGGTAATTGTTAGGAAGAATGTAGAATGGGATTTGCTTCACACAATTTTTAGACTTAAGTCGGAGTAGCTGTGAAAAATATTGCAACCTTTAGATTAAATTATTATTGTTATTATTATTGTTTGTTGTTTGTTGTTTGTTGTTTGCTGGTTGCTGGTTGTTTGTTTGTTTGTTTGTTTGTTTGTTTGTTTGTTTGTTTGTTGTTTGTTGTTTGTTGTTTGTTGTTTGTTGTTTGTTGTTTGTTGTTTGTTGTTTGTTGTTTGTTGTTGTTGTTGTTGTTGTTGTTGTTGTTGTTGTTG